ATCCGTTTGAGTTTTTCCCCAATTAGCAATTTCTCAGACACCGTCGTCCGACTTCTCTTCTTGATCCCACTGACTGCACCTGGCTGGAGGGGGCTGTCCTCCGTCTCCCCCCTTGACTGGCACCGTGGATCCCTGAGGATCCTGCCAACAGTGGCCTTTTGTATTTGTTTCCTGTTGCTGCTGTAACAAAACGGCACAAGCGCAGTGGCCTGAAGCCACACCAGCTCATTACTGTGCGGTCCTGGAGGCCAGGGCCTCGCAGGAGAGTCTCTGAGTAGGAGCAACCGTCATGGGCCACGCTCCTGTCTGCAGAGTCACTTTCCTGGCCTGGCTGCTTCCGGAGGCGAGGTGCAGGCCTCTGCGCCCGGCCCTTTCAGCCCCAGGGTCTGGCTCCACCAGCAGCGTATTCACCCCCTCGGCCTGAAACAGAACGTGTCCCTGGGAACCTACAGGAGAACGCGTGTGGGCGGGGGTGGGGGTGGGCATCCACTATGCTGCTGACCACACTTTCCTGTCACCAAATGTAACGGCCTTCGTCTCTGCCTCTGTATTTCCTTTCCCTTAAGATTCTCACTGCCCCCCCCCATTTTTAGGGTGTTCCGCTCAGTCCCCACCATCGGTGGCTCCTCCTCCTATTTGCACCTCCAGCGTGTTCTGGGAAGTTCCATAGTGTTCCTCTCTCTTCCTCCTTTGGGGAGAAATTTTCTATATATTCATATAAAGATATGACTGTCATTTTGCGTTGATGACTCCAAACTGCGTATTTCTGCCCTGATCGATCCCTCCCTCCCTCTCGGTCTCAGCCCAGTCCCCTCAAATTCACCATAACTGGTGCCAAGACCCCAATTCTATAGCTGTGCATCCTCAGGACGCTGGAGCCACTGAAAGGTCAGGACAAGACACTGATGCTTAGAAACCCAGAAGGAGTAGGCTGGAAGGACGCTGGAGCAGCAGGAAGTAACGGCGTCTGTCTCTGAGCAAAGGTTCCCCTGCTCCCTGCCTCCCTGCACAAGCCCCTAACGGCATCGCAGAGCCCCAAGGAGACAGTCGTGAACAGCAACATTCAGTGAGGTGCAAAACTTGCCTGGCCCTGGCCCGCGCTCTGTGTCCCCAGCGCTGGGGTTCCCAGGCCACATGCCGTCTGCGCAGCCCAGGACTGGGCACAGCGATCGCCTGCTCCCAGGGCCTCTCCCCTCGTCCTCCCCGGCTCACCCGCCTGCGGCTGGCCCTGCCCTCAGCGCCAGCTTCCCTCCTGCTCTTATTTTCTCAAATGGAAACATGGCGGCAGCTGGTCGGTGGGTCCCTGCATCCTCTGTTTCTTTTTAGGCAACATCTGTCCCTTTGTTAGTCTCTGACTCACCAGCCTCCGCTCCACCTCAGGACTCCCTGACAGCTCTGCAAAGCCCAGCGGAGGTCCCGGCAGGGAGACCGCCTTGCCCGGTGCCCTCACGCTGGCCATTGCCGCCCCCCAGTCCCAGGGGTCACGACTGGATCACGTCAGCTCTGCACCGGGGCCAGCACAGTGCTCTGAAAAAACAAACTAACACCCACATTTCTAGAAAACGTTTCAGTGGTTTGGGAGAAACAGCCACTCTCAGGGAGACCGGCCCGAGTCTCAGGCCCTCGACAGACTGACCGGCTTTGGGAAACCTGCGAGCCCTCAGACACGTGGGGCTTGGGCGTGCCGTGGATCCAACGCTCTTTTTGTTCATGAAACGCTGACAATCCCGAGGGTACTGACGTCCCAGTAAACAGAATTTGAGGTGCCTGATCCAGCTGCAGGACAACGAAAATCCCCCACAAGTGAGCAGCAGTAAAACAATTTGTTTATTTAACCATAAAACTCTTAGAACTTGACTTAGCGCCATCCTGTCCCTCCCTGGCCGTCTTTAAAGACCCTCACTCTCGCCGGTGTTTAATCACGAGATGTTACGACCTGCATGAATATCATTTTATAAGTGAGAACTGAGTAAACAGACGTAATTTTGAGAAAATAAAAGCAAGAAGAATGTAAAAGTCAAGCTGGAATCGGAGCACAGGGACTGGTCTCTCATGCACAGGGAAAATGCAGACAATGCGGGAGGCCAGGGCGTCGCGGCCAGCACATCCTGACGAGGCCACCCCGCCATGGCACTGGGTCCCGGACGCAGCCTCACCATGCCCTGCACGGCCCCACGGAGCCTGCCAAGCTGCGCTTGACGTGCTCACTTGCCGTGGGAGAGGGCGCGAAGTGCAGGGCCTAACGCACGTCCTGGCGGCTCAGCTGGAGACACCACAGGGCCGCAGTCACGGGCGGTAGGCACAGAAACAGAGCAGACCCACGAGCTAAACACGCGAGTGGGTCGGGGAGGTGTGGTCTGTGTGCTCGCGACTGCTCGTTTTGCACCAGGTTTTGAGTGAGAAATTTGGCAGCGACAGCATCACAGTCTTCAGAAACCTCAACCCACTGAGAGATAAATGCCAAACATACGTATTTGTGGAGCCAACGGAAGTGACAGCTCTTTCAAATGATGTTTTCAACAGGAAAGAAAAACAGAGAGGGAATTTGATGACAAATGGCACAGGCTTCATCCACGTCTCTATTTGGCATCTCGCCAGAAGACTATAGCCTAGTATAGAATTTTATACAGAGTACAGGACTGCTCTACACTTTGCAGAGGCTGTTGACTTTAAGTTACATAACAGAAATGTGAGAGCCTGACCTCCACAACTCCCCTGCACCCTGAGACCCACCTCTCACCCTCAGCTGCACAGGTAGACACTAATACCTCAAATTTTAACTCTACAGAGGCGCCTTTAGGCAACGGCCTGGCCCTGTTAAAACACAGATGTCTGATCGCAACGCAGCTGGAAACAAGTTACCTAAAGCCACTTAAATCTCTCCAGAATTTGCAGGCCTAAAATATGCCTGTCCAAGGAGGCAGTGTGATGAATTTTTCTGTGTCTTACCTTAGGGCAACTGGAACTGTAGGAGTGAAGTCACGAGAACTAGCGCTTGCCTGACCCTCGGCCAGAGACCCTGCTCTTGCGGCAACGAGAGGCTGCAGAACGGACCGGGGTTCATCGCTTCAACACCCACCAGGCACCACCGAGTCACCATCTGCCTCTCGCCACCCTGCCACTTGCCGTCTGTGGGCCAAGCACCCTCCTAGCTGGTGCCGCTGCGTTTGGAAGCTGGTACAGTGACTGGGGGACTCTGGTCGATTCTTTAAGTGCTCACTGGAAGCAGGTTTAATTACTTAAAACTCTGGCGGCGACTCTACATCGTACATTCCCAAGTTCTGCTGCTCAGCCACATCACTGTGGAAATCTTACTTAAGGGTATTATTCTGCAGTTTTGTTCTTGTCCAGTGAACACGCTGGAAACAAGAAGCGCTCGTGCACTCCAGCACATCACACGTGGAAAACATTCAGTTGGGTATAAAATCCTGTTCACATTCCATCCACAGGTTGACCAAAGAAATGACTCACTCACCTGCCTTCTACCAGCCTCAGGTGCAAACTGCTGGAGAAAACCCTTGACTGGCAGACAAAGGAGACAAGAGTTTGGGGTTGTTTCAGTAGCGCTCACGACCACCCCAACCGTTTACACTCCCCCAGTCAGACATTCTGCACTGACCAGTGCCGTGTGGCCGCCGCCGTGTGGGTGATGGGGGAACCCGGCAGCTGTGGTGACATGACCGTGGGAACCAGAGCAGCGCACAGACGAGCCCTCCGACGATGCGCATCTTCTGGAGCCCACCGGGTGTTTCGGCCATAACGCCTGAACATAAGATGCCACACGCAGCCTCGCGGGTCCCCCCAGAAGAAGATGGGGCTCCAGCCCCGACCCACTACTGGACAGCTGGGGACACCCGGAACACTTACTTAAGTCTCCTAGTCCCGCGGGCAGATTAATAATAATATACACATCCCCAGAACACGGTTCAATGTCAATTAAATGTCAGATGCGGCCCCCTTAGAACTTTCTGGTAATACAGTAATTGATAAATACAAATTAAAATTATTTTAGGGTAAATTCCTTAAACGAGCAGATCGGACACAAAAGCTAAGTGCATGGTTAACTCTCACGAAGTGGATGCACTTCACTCCATCGTGGTGCTCGTGGACCAAATGCCCAGGACAATCAGGTCTTTCTGGAATTTCAACAACAGCTTCCTCTTGCCAGATGAACACTAAGACGGCTGCAAACTCAAGTACAGAAGGTGACCATGTTGGTACTGCCCGTGGGTCCTCTACCCAAGGAGAGGAAGGAGGCCCTGGCCTGGGCCTCCCGGAGGACGGAGGGAGAGGGCAGGCCGCGGGGCAGCCTGGTGGGAACGCCGGCATGCAGGGAGCCTCCTGTCCCAGTGCTGGCGGGTGCACTTGAAGACAGCTCCGCGGTCTATGCCCTCCCCCGAGACACCCTCACAATACAGGGGAGTGGTGCAGAGCGAACCAGAGCTCCAGAGCAGACGGCCGGTCATCAAAGGACAGCACGGGATGAGGACCAGCTGGAGCCAGGACGTCTGAGGAGACGCGGCAGCGCAGGAAAGGGGATGGGTGTGAGGCAGGAGGAGAGCGGCCAGTCCAGCAAGGCCAACCAGGGAGCGCGGGGCAGAGGAACAGGCTGGGAGGCTGGCAGGCTGGCCGAGACCCGGCAGCCGGGGATAGCAGGCACGGCGGGTGCTCCCGATCCTGGCTGCGGCATCCAGAAGGGGACGGGATGGGATGGAGCAAAGGGGAGGGACCCGGGGATGACTGGGGCTTTGGTGGCGGCGCGAGCCTGCACCCCAAGCCCTGCACTGTGATGTGAGTCAACGTTTCCGCAGTGAATGTCACGTCACGAGACCTCACAACAACAATGTGTGAGTCCGGCCACTGACCACAGCAGATGTGCCCCAGCGGATGGTCGTGCGGAAGCTGCGTCAGGCCAGGGGCACGGTCTGTGTTGCTGCCTCGATTCCTCTGTGAATCTGAAACTGTTTGAAAAAAAGAGTACTAAAAATCTCCCTTCCCAGGCCAACAGCGGGAGCTGGGAAGACTCGGAGCCAATGCAGCCTCTGCGCAGAGCAGCGTGCCAGGAGCAAGCCCTGAACGCTGGGGGTCCTGCTGGAGAGAGGTAAGTCCCCAAGTTAAACAGAGTTGCTTTGCCAAGTATAAAACTGTATAATCAGAAAAAATGCAATTATGTGGGTTTACGTTATAAGACCAATATTTAAAATTTAACATTTAAAATCAGAAAGATAAATAATTGTTTAATTATGGTGCATATTCTGAGGCTTGTTTTATGACTTTTTCTGGTAGTATCCTGATATTTCTACCTGCTAGAAAGAGCGGCATAGCCTTAACTTAAAGGTTGCTCAATACCATGAATTTGCAAGTTGCCAAAGAGGTAAAAATGGCCACTGACGTGCATCAACCATCCAGTGCAGTGAGATCACTCCGTGGCTGCGGGAGCTGGTGGGAGCTGGTGAGACTGTGCTCTCGGGTCTGCCCTGTGTCCTCACAGAGGTGTGCGAGCGAGTGACACAGACACTGGCAGCCTCCAGAGGTTGTGCCAAGGGGTCACACGGCTGCGACGAAGATCCGAAGAGACCCCAAATGAAGTATCTCAAAGAAGATGAGACTTTTCCTTCTTCCCCACAGAGCAGTCACACCAGCAGCGCACCGGGGCTCAGCCACCTTTACTCTTGGCTCCCTCCTTTGGGCCCAGTTGAGCTGCTCTAGCTGTCACCCCATGGAAGAGGCCCAGGGCCACATGGGGCTCTCTGGGCAAGCCCCAAAGCCATAGACAGCCCCCCGCCCGCATTCCAGGGCTAGACCTCATGCCACCACCGCCCCATGCAGGCGCAGAGAAGAGCGTCGCCCTGATGGTGAACCTGGAACCCGCCCAGACTAAGGCCCGTGAGGACTGGAGAGTCAGCCCCGCGAGGCTGCCTGCTCAGCGATGCCCACATCTGCTACAGTGGGACCCTGGCCCAGCTTGCAGAGAGGCAGCCCCGAGGCAAGGCACGGTGACCAGGGCTGTGGCGGGGGCCAAGGAAGGTCCCAGGAAGGCTTCCTGCGAGCTCCCATGGGGGCCATCTGAGGAGCCAGGCTCGGCCCTCACCTGCTGAGCCACACCCAGGCTGAGCCAGTGCTGGGTCTCTAAGCCCAGAGTGTTGTCCTTGGCGAGTTGCCTTCCTTTTCCTTGTAAGTGGGACGAGAACGGTGGAGGGTGAGAAATCACTATGAACGTGCCAGCTTTGTGAATGAAATTAGAAACCAGCATATGATAAGACACACTTCTCTATACAAGAAAAGTCTGTAATATATGTTTTCATTATTGAAATAGTGTCATTAATTTATCATGGAGACCGTGAATCTTACCAATGAGCTGCGCAACAGGATGAAATTGTGTGCAGTGGTATGTGGGGGAATTCAAGCTAGACAGGCGAGAAGGAGAATTTAAATGTAGGATATTTGAAAGGGCAAAAAAGGAATTGTTACGCTGAGTTTCCACTCAATAATAACATTAAATTTTATAACATTTCTCTCTGCGTAGCTCAAAACTCCCATTTCTGCACTTAGCACGAATCCTGACAGTGGGAAGAGCAGATACATTCGTCTCCATTTTGCAAATATGTCCCTTCGGCCCTCAGTAAGAAGTAGGGCGAGTAGAAGCCCACGGCCCAGACCCCCACGGCGTGGGCTCCCTCAGGAAGGGGCAATTGCCAAAGAACAGGCCAGGCCTGAGGTGTCCAGGGAGACGGGTGCGCTGGGCGGGGGGGCAGGACGGCCGACAGTGGGAGCGGAGGAAGACGCGGCCACGTGAGCACAGGCTGTCCACTCAGAACCTCGCGGCGGACGCTGCTGCATCTTGCCCAGGCCCCTCGCACGTGTCCCTTTCAATGCATCCTTGTCCAGAACATTTCCCCAGAAGGCCGCTCTGCTTGAAGAGCCCTGCCAGGACAGCGCACTCGCCCCCACCATCCCACACCAGAGGAGAGTGGGTGCGGGCACCCAGCAGCAGCCCACGAGCTCGGGGCTGGAGCAGCAGTCGCCTGGGCAGGTTAGCACAGTCTGCACTTCCCGGCATCTCCTCTCGGCCCCTCGTGTTCCCACAGCCAGTAACCAGCCACCTTCACTTAAATGTTCAAATGTCCACCTGCTTCTAAGGAGCAACACACAAAGGCACGGACTTTGGCCACAATGGACACAGGTCAAGGGCATCCGTCCACTTAGAACTTAGTGTGTGCCTACTCTGCGCCTAGTCTGTACCTTCTGTGTGCCCACTGTGTGCCTAGTGTGTGCTGGACACTGCCCCAGAGGCTGGAAGTGAAAGCGCTAAAAGCAAGCCTAAAGCTCACCCTCTGATGCTTGCATTCTATGAGGATTTTGTCCAATAACAGGACAGCAGATGTGAGGCCAGGGTCAGAGACAAAGGCGCAGACAGAGCTGGGGGGAGAGGAGGTGAAGAAAACCCACCACAAAGAAACCAACTCCGGAGGCTGGTTCATCTGTGCTGTGCTCCCCAGGAGCACAGGCACTGGGAGGCGGCGAGGAAAGCAGGGGAGAAAAGCTTAAATGCAAGGAGGTATGCGGCCCGCGTGAGACATGGAGGAGGGTGTTAGAATAATCCAGAAACAGGGCCCTTGCAGATACCTGAAGGGATAGGCTTGTAGCAGAGGCAACCGGCTCTCCAGTGAGAAGGCACTGGGACACGGTGCCTATCAGCTCCTGCACAGGGACACAGCGCCGGGCAGAGACGCCCGCAAAGGGACACAGCCCCAGACACGGGGGCCGGTAGCGACATGCATGGGCCACTTCGGCCAGTGGAATGTGTCAAAACTGACGTCGCACCTGGGGTGACGTGTAGAAGGGGCGTAAGTTGCCGACCTGCCTCACCCTCCCATCCCTGGTTCTTCTCTCGAGAGTGGACTGGACCAGAAACACCCACTCTGCACCGCACGTGAACACGAACAGTGTGGATCACGTTTAGCCAGTAGACGCCGGGACCTACTTGTTATAGCAACTACTGTTTTCTCAAACTAACACAATCTACTGAAATTCTGAGCCACTGAGGGTTTTTTTAACCAATGCACTTAGTTTTCCAAAAGCATTCCTGTGGCTACAGGTCGAGGACAGAATGTGAGATGAGGCAGAGAAGGCGCCCAATTCCAACCGGAGGCTCTTCAGTAGCTTGGGGAAGGGCCAGGCAGCCTGGGATGGCCACAAGCCCAGGCCCCGGTGGCCGACGCCAGCATGCAGCTGTGCTCATGACAGAGAGCGACCGCCTTGTTCTTCTGGATGCGAGCACTGTCCCCTTGGTGTATGCACAGCATGGCCGGCGCTGTCAAGGCAAAGGGGGTCACAAGGCCTGTGCTAAGCTATGAGACACGGGACCCTGACTGCGCCCGCACACACGTGTCTCATGGGGTTGCAAACTGCCAACTGGTTGTTTCTAAGAAGCCATCACTGTAATAGAAAAGCATATGTACTAGAAGTGATAAAATATTAGGATAATTAAGCAAAGCAGCGTATTCTTTAAGCTTGAAATCTACTTCTATTAGTCACTGATGGAGCAGTTTTTAGAGATGACATCAACGCGAGACAGTGTTCCTGTTGATGGCATTCAATTCAGGACGCAAATGCATGTGGGTAATCCCAAACCCACTCTGCTTGATTAAAAAGATTTTTCAAGGACCGTCTATTTTGTGGGGGTTTCTTCTTGTTGTTTCTCTTTTGTATCGAAGGCTGCAAGTAACAAGAACGAGAAGGTGCTTCGGGCATTTGGTAAAACCACCGTGTCCAGGAGGTCGCAGATCCACCAGCCAGAATTCCCACGCCTCCGGCTGTGCTCCAGTCACCCCGCTGCTAATCCACAACGGACAAGTCAGAGGGTGTTGATCTACACAAACTGCCAGAACCCAATTCTATAAAACTGACAAGCTCAATTATTTTTTTGACAAAAAAGTCACAGTTTTTGGTTTTGGGGGGCTGTCCACGCCATCCTATCAGAGCACTGCCTCCAAATGCAGAGCGATCAAAGGGAAGCCCCGGGAATCACAGCAGACATCACGAGCACACAGAGCTGTGCCTGAGGAGGCAGATGCCGGAGGAGTTACAGCAACTGGGCCAAACTGATATCTTTCCTGCTGAGTCGCCTGGTCCGCTCACCTCGTGTGTGTACATACGTGTCTGTGCTTGCTTTCATCGTCGTCTTAGAATTTTTATGATTTGCTGTAGCCACATGTAAGGATTTCTTCCTTCTTGATTTCGGGTTTCTCAAGTGGTTGTTTCTCCATTTCGTCTCCACAGGCTCGCTCTAGAAAAGTCACCAATGCCATGTGCTGATCTGTGTGCTGAGACCCCAGTGAATTCTCACAGCAGTTTGGGAGCTTCTTTTATATCCCTGGATCAGGACCCTCAGGGACGATGGCGGTGCTGCCCGTCGGGACAGTGGATTCCTGACCTTGCAGTCTGCGCCCCGCATCTCACCCCGCCTCCCCGCAGAGGTCAGGATCCCACCACCGTGTGGGCGAAGTGCTGAGTGTGGACGGTCCCTGCTGCCTTCCCAGGCTTGGGCAGACAGTGCTCACTCGTTCCCCACGGAGGATGGTGTTACTTTTAGGAGTATTTTGATTTTTTTGCATTAAGTTGTGAAAGTTTGCCTGTCACTAGTTTGCTGGATGTTTTTATCCTGGATAGATTGGATTTTGCCAAATGTAACTTTTTTTTTGCATCAGTTAATACAATCACGGCATTGTTCCTCACTTGTTGATGTTATTTTTATCACCTTTCAGAACACACAGTGCTGGCAGGAAGATGCACGCGTGCTCTGGCTGAAGCCTGCTTTACTGAACTGAGGGAACTGCCATTTGGACATAGAAAGCACGAGAACAAGCAGAGTTCGCTGCAATGGTGGTAACGGAGCCTTCAAAATCCCACACAACCGGTGATGATTTTAAGCAGACCAAGCTCGCACTTCACTTAGCACTGAAAGCATTACCAAGCGCGTTTTGCTTCTAAACTCACGGCGCCTCTGGTTTCGGATCCAGTCGACACACACCTAAACTAAACGGGGGCTGCGAGCAGTGGACCAGAGGTGGAGCTGAGTGAAGCGTAATACGGGGGTTCTGGAAAGACCAAAGCAGAAAGGAGTATGTGCTCCCTTTGAAATACTCAGGGCTCAATGATCTCACTAACTGTCCAACCGGAGATATTAAGACTGTGATTAAGAAATGTGAATATTCTCCGGCAACTGCTGCAGAGTGGCTGCGTAATGGTGTGCTGATGTGTTTACAGTCACTGCCATTTTACTGAACCACCGAGAACCATAGGAACCTCCATTAATTAATTAAGCGGTGGCTTCATTTTGCGTATTTGTTTCACCTTCATTAAATACCTTTTGCAAAGATGGTGAAACCCGGGTTCTGAAAGAATGATGGGTAATTAGAGTGATGCGTAATCCTTCCTTATTGCTTGCAATTTCGTTTCCATCTGCGTCACTTGGTTTCCCATGTTGCTGAGCCCCACTGGACTGACGCGTCCCAGCGCACTGCCCTTACCCTCCAGCACCTCCAGCTCCTGCTGACACGCACGAGGGACTGGTGGCGCACATGCAGGAACGGGCCTTGGGCAGGAGCACTCGGGAGGGGTGCCCAGACCCATGACCTCCCGCCCAGGGGGACCTCCCGCACCCTTTGGGCCTCATAGAGCCCGAGGTGGACTGGTGGGGAGGCTGCGGTCTGTGTCTGAGAGGGCGTCATGCTGTCCCGACAGCACATAGTTTTATGTTAGAGCCGAGAGCACACCCCGAAGTAGGAAAGATGCTGTGTGTTTCCCACGTACATACATTGGTAAGTCCCGAGACGTTCCCCAAACCGGAGCCCGGGTGGGGCAGCCTCCCATGCGCAGAAGGAGGGTCGGCAGGGCGAGGGCAGCGTGTGAGAAAGAGCTCTGCAGAATCCGGCTCCGGGTCACAGACGGCACAGGGGGCCGGTCTTACCAGCCCCAGACGCAGAGAAGGAATAAGCGACATGACGCAGATTTTGGGCAGTTCGGGGAGGCGATCACACTGAGCCCACGAGGGATCAAACCAGCATGACGCAGACCCAGTCCCATCCCCACCAAACTTGTAAAATAGAATTTAGCTCTGAGTCTTTTAACTCCAGGCACGGGACAGCAGCTAAAGAGCTACATTTGTGCTCGCAGCTGACTACAGAGGAGTGGAGACCGTGCACAGACCTGCTCCGTGATGGCGGGAAGGCTCGCTGTGTCTCCAACAAGCTGGGGCAGCGCGGCCGGTGACCACAGGCTGAGGCAGGGCCACTGCTCCGCCCCCGACCCACGTCAGCTGCCAGCCTCGGAGCACAGCACGAGCTCCCCTCTGTCACCTGCTGGCCTGAATGGCAATGCCCCCAAACTTCCTGGGTTGCAACCTGAACCCCCAAAAAGAATGGTGTTAGAGATAGGCCTTTGGGGGTGACTAGGCCTGGAGGGGGATCTTCAGGAAAGAGATCGGTGCTCTACAAGGTCCCCACGGGAGCCCCAGCCACTGCAGGCCTCCAAAGACAGCCAATCACACGACAGGGAGCATATGGGCTCGCCCAGCACACGGGTGTGAGCCACAGAGGGCGGGGCGGGAGGACTGGTGAGGTGGGAGGCGGTGGGTCTATTCTGGGCGGCAGAGCAAGCGCATCGGGACGTAGGTGTGCGGGCTGCACGGTGACTGCGCCCCTCTCAGGAGGACAACAGATGTGAGCGGGAACGAAGCCACCGGGACCTCAGTCAGAGACCCCCACAGACGCTGAGGCCCACGGCCACTGCAGGAGAGGGCGTGGATACCGGAGGGGCTAACTGGGCCACTGTGGCATCGCTGGCAAGAGGTGACCAAAGTGTTCATGCTCCCTGTGCCTTGATTTTGAAACCAGCGGCAATAACCCTGGGCAACTCACCCGGTGAAGCGTCAGGATAAAGGGGGCTTAAACATCGCTTTCTTCTATTTTTGCGCAGCCCTCTGGGAAACCACTTTAGAAGTAAATCTCTGATAACTTATATTTTGTCATTTGTCATAAAAATAAAACACCTGCGAAATATCATGAAGGTTTTCTGTGGCGGATGCTAATAGCGCATACAGTATAAAAATGTCTTTCTAATTAGCTGTGGAAGCACACAATAGCAAAATTAATTACTCCTATACATTCACTATCTAGATCTGGACAATTGTGCACTGTATCAAACAAAATAAGACTGATTACAAAGAGCAGCACGTAAGTGTCTAAATAATAGAATGACATGGAAATAATCCCCAAAGACAGAGTGTCCCAATGTGTGACGGCCTCATTCGGGGAGCAGAACACCACCGAACACGTAACAACACAACGCTCCCCCAACAGAATCCCCCAAGCAAAGCAACCATTCCATTTGCTATGAGGAAAAACTCCATTTGACAGAGTTGGCCACAAAGCCTCATGCACATTTTATAGGTAGTAACAGGTATTTTTCCAATATAAATTTCACGTTCTGCTGTAAGAAGTTTCAGCAGTTGTTGCATAATTTTGAAATTGCAAAGTCCTTCTCCTCCATGATGTGTGAAAGTGATAAGACATAACAAACAGAAAAGCACTTTGGCGGTAGCTGTGTCTTCACAAACGAACAGACTGAGTGACCTTTTTTTGGAAACTGTAGCAGGAAGCCTGCATTCACGACGTTTTCAAATTGTGTCACTGCACATTCCTGGCAGAACAATGAAAAGCGGGAAATGTTGAGATTTTTGACCTTGAAATCACCACCACTGCAAATGCGCCGAGACAGTGGGATTTGTTTTCACCAGTGTAAGACTTTTTTCATACACGAGTCATGTCCACTGGTCAGTGAATGGGAAAGACGCTTCGGTGAGATGGTCCGAGGGCCAGAATCCAGCTCTGTCCCACATGGCGGCCCAGCACCTGGCAGCGCCCCGGCCCGCCCTCGCGGGCTCTCTCCGTGGGCAGAAGAGAGCAGAGTGAGTCAGTGTGAGCGTCCGGTACAGCGCCGAGTCTTTCCTATTCTTATGGATAAGACCTTCCAAGTTTTGTAAGTGCTTTTTTTAAAAAACATGCTTATTTTATCCTATCAGTCAGCGGCAGGCCAGGCTGCCCGCGAGCTTCAACCAGGTCCCACGCCAGCCAGGCACACAACACGGCACGTCAACGGCAATCAGCGAAAGGAACCAGAACCATGTTTCCGTTCCACGAGCAGACGCCGGGCCTCTGGGAGAGTTCCAGACTCCATGACGCGGCTCTGGGGCACCCATGGCCGTTCTCTGGGAAAGCCAAGGCACATCCCGCTGATGCTCAGGGGCCCCGTGTTCCCACGTGAGGCCCTCCGGGTCTGGGACGCGTCATCCTCCACCTCCCCAGCCCTGCATGCCCAACGCCCACTGCTCTGGCACCGTCTTTGACCAAAAGCCCAAATCACATCATTTCCACAGAACTGAGCACGTGCCTGGCATTCGACGACCGTGAACCCCAGAAACACAGCTAGAAGCTCAGCGCGCCAGGAGCACGCCGAGTCCCTCGCGAGCCTGGCATTCGACGACCGTGAACCCCAGAAACACAGCTAGAAGCTCAGCGCGCCAGGAGCACGCCGAGTCCCTCGCGAGCCTCCCAGTGGCTCTGTCCTTGAGCGGAGACACCGCGGGACCCCCACGCCCCGAGGCCAAGCACTCTGGAGACGTCCCCTACCCTGCCCCGGCCCCTCACTGAGCGCCAGAGCCTGCCCCGCGCCCCATCGCTCCCGTCGGAGAGGCCCATCCCCGTTTCAGCCCCTGACTCCGGAGACCTTCAGATTTGCGTGTGTTGCCTGAAAACCTGTTCTATTTTCAGGAGGAAAGTGCTCAGCAGCCTTAATTGTGGTGCACAAATACTAATGAGGTGTAATTGAACAGCTCGTTTAAGATGTGAAACGGCAAAGGGGCGAGGACGGCTGTTTCGGGGGATAATCAGTAAAGTCTATTTTTACAGATGACTTGGGAGGCGAACACCTGGCTGAAACCCCAGCTCTATGCTGGTCTCTTGCTGGAAACCAGTGACTCCTTCGGGGAACGCCACGAACACCCCCTTGCGGCACCCGGGGGTTAAGTCACGAGGGGCCAGCAGCGACCCGTGTCGCGTGGACGGTGGTTCCTGGGGATCCGAGCTCGGCCTGGCTGTTCCCGGAGCGGAGCACGAGCCATCCCCGCCAGAGGGCGGGACGCCGGAGCCGAGGGCGGCCTGCCTGCTCAGAGGGGCACGACCCAGGGGAGAACCGCCCGGGCTGCCCGATGGCCGCTGGCTGACAGGGTCCCTGCGGGAAAGAAACCGTCTCTCCACACACTTCCTGGCTTTCAAACAAACTCGGCTGCCTTTTCTCCCCTCCCAACCCGCCTTGGCCGCCACGGAACCGGCTTCCGACAGGCAGCGGGGTGCAGGCCGAGCGGACCGACGGTCCCGGACTGTGGCTGCCCGACGCCGGGCTCTGCGGGCACTGCAGCCTCCCCGGACCCCGGGCCGAGCACTGTCCCCAGGGCCAGGCGCTGCCTTACTTCACTCTCATGAGGCCAGAGCCCAGTGGAGCAGGTCCGCCCAGGAAGGTCAACGCGTGGAGGCCCGGCAGCTAGTCAGCAGCCCGTGCAGCCCAGCCACCCGCCCGCCGCGGGGAACCCCGTCGCGTCGCGTCCAGCATAAGACAACGACAGGGACGGAGACTGAGCGTGTCTGTGCGACGCAGACTCTACTTGCCAGCAGAAGCAGGTCTCGGCTGCCGGCAGAGGATGGATCAGTCCCCGGCACGACACTGCCGTCTCTGCCCGTGTCCGCTGACTCGACACCGCCGGCGAGGGCTCCTGTGGGCGCCTCAGGCCTCAGGGTCCAGGCGGGCGGCTCCGGCTGCAGGACGGCGTGTCGGCCAGGACAGGGCCTCGTCCGGCCAGACCCTGACTGGGAGGAGTGAGGACAGACACACGCCTGCGAAGCTGGAGTCTGGCCTTCTGGTTAGAAAGCAGCAGCGTGCAGAGGCAATTTTCCCCATACACTGAAGTATTACTATTTGGAGCAGCTTGTTCGGGAACAGACCTACTTACGGTAATGACATGATTGCATAAATTATCGCGAGTATTTGGAAGACGGCTGAAAGATGAGGCCCTTAGAAATCTCAACTAAGTATCCAACAAAGCAGGATTTCACATACTACTTTTCTGTTGAGTAAAATGCAAACTGATCATTGTTTTCGAAACTTTTGCTGTTCATATACAAATGACAAGGCATATAAAATGGCAATAAACACCCAATTTTGGAATTGTTGGTAACAAAACAAAGACTGTTAGGCCAACAACGAACACGCCAATTTTGTTACCTTTATTTACCCAACTGATCGGTGGGAATGAACTTAGCAGATGTTTGCCTTATAATCTGCATTTAATTAAGCATAAATCAAC